CTTTTCAATTTCCATGTGGAACTCAACGCTGCTTCTATACGTTACCCTGAAGTTAAGGTGTGGCGCCGTAATCGACGTCTACCTTGCAAAGCTTTTCAATTTCCATGTGGAACTCAACGCTGCTTCTATACGTTACCCTGAAGTTAAGGTGTGGCGCCGTAATCGACGTCTACCTTGCAAAGCTTTTCAATTTCCATGTGGAACTCAACGCTGCTTCTATACGTTACCCTGAAGTTAAGGTGTGGCGCCGTAATCGACGTCTACCTTGCAAAGCTTTTCAATTTCCATGTGGAACTCAACGCTGCTTCTATACGTTACCCTGAAGTTAAGGTGTGGCGCCGTAATCGACGTCTACCTTGCAAAGCTTTTCAATTTCCATGTGGAACTCAACGCTGCTTCTATACGTTACCCTGAAGTTAAGGTGTGGCGCCGTAATCGACGTCTACCTTGCAAAGCTTTTCAATTTCCATGTGGAACTCAACGCTGCTTCTATACGTTACCCTGAAGTTAAGGTGTGGCGCCGTAATCGACGTCTACCTTGCAAAGCTTTTCAATTTCCATGTGGAACTCAACGCTGCTTCTATACGTTACCCTGAAGTTAAGGTGTGGCGCCGTAATCGACGTCTACCTTGCAAAGCTTTTCAATTTCCATGTGGAACTCAACGCTGCTTCGATACGTTACCCTGAAGTTAAGGTGTGGCGCCGTAATCGACGTCTACCTTGCAAAGCTTTTCAATTTCCATGTGGAACTCAACGCTGCTTCTATACGTTACCCTGAAGTTAAGGTGTGGCGCCGTAATCGACGTCTACCTTGCAAAGCTTTTCAATTTCCATGTGGAACTCAACGCTGCTTCTATACGTTACCCTGAAGTTAAGGTGTGGCGCCGTAATCGACGTCTACCTTGCAAAGCTTTTCAATTTCCATGTGGAACTCAACGCTGCTTCTATACGTTACCCTGAAGTTAAGGTGTGGCGCCGTAATCGACGTCTACCTTGCAAAGCTTTTCAATTTCCATGTGGAACTCAACGCTGCTTCTATACGTTACCCTGAAGTTAAGGTGTGGCGCCGTAATCGACGTCTACCTTGCAAAGCTTTTCAATTTCCATGTGGAACTCAACGCTGCTTCTATACGTTACCCTGAAGTTAAGGTGTGGCGCCGTAATCGACGTCTACCTTGCAAAGCTTTTCAATTTCCATGTGGAACTCAACGCTGCTTCTATACGTTACCCTGAAGTTAAGGTGTGGCGCCGTAATCGACGTCTACCTTGGCGTTGCCGTCCTGACTACTGAAGGTCTCTTTTAGTCACAGCAAGAAACGCCTCAACGCTTTTCTTGAAATCTCCTTGAAATCTTAGCGCCATCACGACACGCGAAAAAAATTGAAAAAATAAGAGACCTGCTTAACTCACAATCGTTTGCAACCGTACCGTCTGAACCGAGACACTTTTTTTCTCAAGGAAACGCAGTTAGGAATATATTTTATTAAATTAAATGTTCACAAATAAGATAGCTTTAGGTTTTCAACCACATTCTCAAGTTTTGGATAAAAAATGTAACTTACGTTTGGGTAAGTGCAATCTTACGAGGCTGAAACTGCTAAAACTAAGTAAAATAGAGTTGAGTTATTATTTTAACCAGACAAGCACTGAGTTCTGAAGTGTAGGGAAACACCTTTAAAAGCTAATTTTATCTTATAAGTACATATTATTCACGAGAAATATTATTGCTTGCACACACTCCATAGCACACAGTTAACTGAAGTAAAAGGATAAAAGTATGATATTGTTATGTTACTCTACCTGTTCTGTAGAGCAACTAGAAAATTACATTGTAACGTCTATAAAAAATTTGTATATCCAATGGTTTGTAATAATGGAAATATATATAATAAATTGAAAAATATTGACGAATTTTGCTTGTAGGAAAATTGCAAATAATAGATTGTCCACCCTTGCCTTGCTGAGTTTGCTTCACAGCTAAACTTCTCCAAATGTGGTTAAAATTTTACAAAGCTTTGACTTTTTTTGCTTAATTTAATAAGTAACAAAGAATGTTGAGTAAAAGAAAGATTATTGACAATACAGAAACCGTTGAAAAAAAATTATATATTAATTTTTTAAACATATTGACCTAGTATATAGGATGTTTACAGTAATTGTTGCATTTATTTAGCTGAAAAAACCTGTCAGTGAGTTTTTATTTTCTGCATCTATAGTAAACTTTTTCGTTATTTTTGATTCACTATGACAAATGAATATTATTGATGATGGTTCAGATTGATTCTAACTAAAATGTTCAAGAAAGTAATATGTATGGTCCATTTCTGCTAAAAAAAATGTAGTATGGTTTATACTGAGAGTAATGATCAGAAAAAACATTGCAACACTGAAAAAGAAGCTAGAACTATGTAGACAACACAAAGAATGAATTACAGTTTGCTGTAACACTTAATTTTAAAGCTGTAATATTTTTCATCTTTCTAACTATTGCAATCTAAATGGTTACTTTTGTCATAACCCCATTAGAATTTAATAATTTGATGAATTTGTTATTTTGTACCAGATAAAGCTAGACCTCAAAGTCTTGCAAAATCAGTATCATACTCATCAACTTTCTTGTCCTGATTTTTGCAGGTCAGACCAAGCCCTAAAGATTTACGACAGCTCTGTGGCGTACTACACACCTTACTGTTTGCAAACCTTTCAGGAGAAAACAACAATCCATAATCCACTGTCCCTTCCTTAAATGGTGAAAAGAATCCACTGTCTGAAGAGAATTGAGGGGGTGTAAAGCCTGTGTGACCACTGTTATTATAACCTGGGGGTGAAACCAGTAGGGAGGCCAGGAAACTCTGGTTGTCAAGGTTTTTTGTAGGTGTGATCAGTGGTTTTAAAGGTGATAAACAATTGAAGTCATTGTTATTGTGTTTGCAAAAGATGTGTCCTGGTGATGGCATTTCATTGGCTTGTGAATTGATGGCAGCCAAGGTGAGCTGAGGGCGTGGCCGAAGTGGAGAGCGCTTGGGTTGTTGTAAATCTTGCTTTCTTTGCACACATGAAGATTTTTGACTCTTACTGTAAGGTTTACTTTTACGTTTGTTTGCTCCAGTTTTCTTGACATGCAGAGCTAAAATTCCAGTTTTCTCAGTTTTAACATCAGCAGGACTCTTGCAGGTCTCCTCACTCCTGATTGATGCACTATTTAAACAATTTTCTGAAGAATTTTCATTTTCCCTCTTTTCAATCTTGCAAAGGGCTTGTTCTACTGTCACAGTTGCAGAATTGTTTTCACAGTTTTCTTGCAATACCTGTGTCACTGATATTGAACATCCTGATCCTATCTCTTCCTCTGTAATTGCTATTTCTGAGACAATTGTTTCTCTTTCCTCTCCAGGTTCTTCAGATTGAGGAACTGGCTGAGAAAACTCAGGGTTTGTAGTTCTTTGAGCTTCTGCTGCTATGGGTACAAGAGTGGGACTTACTCCAACTGCTGTAGTATTTCCTGCGGCAGCTTGAGCAGCAATTTTTGTGGCCATATTCATGTAAAGCTGTGTTGGTAAAATCACTACTGGAATACTACCAGGCAATCCATTAACTCTTCCATCTGTTAAAATTTGAACACCCCCCTGGTTCAAGAAAGTGTCAGTACTGAGCCGATCCGCTGATGGTTTGGGGAGAATTGGTCGCAGTCCCTTTGTGTTTGATTGCTCTAAGGTCATATTTTGGTTGATAAGTGGCTGCTGATGCTTCATGACTTCTTTCATGATGTTCTCTTTACCTTCTGGTGATATGGACCAGTAACTTCCTTTTCCAGGGAGATTGGATGGCCTTTGGGCCTTGAGGAAATAGCTGTGAAGTGATAAGTTATGACGAATGGAATTCTGCAAGACCAAAATTTTCACAGTGGGTATGTTAGACCAAAGATGTATGAGTTTTACTGGTAACTGTTCTTTAGAACTAGCACCTAGTGGGAACCTCTCTAGGGCAGAATGGGTGACTATTGCATGGAGATTTCAGTAGGGCTTGGGTACACACGAAATGAGTGCATCATTATTACACTGGGTTGAATAATCATAGTAGAGACACAGCTTATCGTGGAGGCTTGAAAGTGTTGCTTCTGGCCCTGAGTCAAATGCTCCTGTTTGTGGTATTTGTGCAGAACTAGGATTGAAGATTCTTTTGGAAAATTAGAAACCAACAAAAGCACTTCTCTGTTTGAGCTAGGTATACAAGCTCAACAAAGCTTACAAACATCATCATCCATTCATGATAAGCAACAAATTTACATCAATTTATAGAATGACAAAAGCACTATTACCTTCCATGCTTTTTTGCAGTTTTTATAAAAAGGGAAATTATTCTCTATCCATTTATAAATGTCTTGCAATGTCATGCGCTTTTCTGAAGTGCTGTTAATAGCCAGTAATATGAGTGTGGCATAAGAGAATGGAGGCTTGGGATAAGGATCCATACGTGTTGGCTCCCCAGTTGTGAGGTTCTTTTGTTTCGTCTCCAACAGTGGATTGGATTCCAGTTTACAGAGCCACTGTATGTTTGTCAGACTGTCATCAAGAGAAGAGGTGGTATCTGTATAATCAAGAGGATCATTTCATTCAAAATGCAATTTTATCTGGTTCAAAATTCTAAATATATTGTTAGTTTTTATTTGGGGAGGGGGGCGTAATAATTACCATCTTTAATTTGATCTGATGAGTACGCATTTTATTTTTACCGGTACTGTCTTTCCTTATTAGATCTTAAGAGCAGGAAACACTTCGGATAAAGAGAAACTTATTTCATTCATACAATGTATACTGACTTACTAATGACACTACAAGAGTAAAAAATCTTTGTTTCGGGAGAGTTATTCAAGAAATACAAATAACGCATAGTAATTAAAAGTGACATGAATTAAACAGAACACCAAAGCTCGAGTAGAGGATTTAATAGAGTACATGTATTTGACCATAAGAGGAGAAACTGAAAATCTTATAAAGAAGTTTAAAGATAAGAGATCGCGAGTCATTTATTTTGTAATCAGTCGGTAGAAAATCATATCCATGCACTGTGTAACGGGGTGAACGTGCCGGGCTATCAAAAGTGAAAGTTATTTGAGTTTCAAGAGAAACAACGCTAAATAGAGACAAATGTTGCCGTTATTTCCTAAATATCAAAATGACTACATTGCTTTCTAAATCCCAAGCTCTAACTTTGCATTCGGACTATGCTACTGTAAACAAATAGTGTAGTTTTCGTGCGTTAGATTTCGATGCAGATTTCAGGGTAAGTTTCAGACAATGTGGTTTAATAATTTTAGATAAGATAGAATTTACTTACGCTCCTTTGAAAACATTGTTCAACCTTTGATCTCAGTGCATCTGCCGCAGATAGCAAGAGAACCAGTGATTTTCAAAAAGGGTTCGAACCAACGTGCTCTTGATCGTGAATGTTGAACAGTTTGAAAATTTGTCTTCCGTTGAGCTTAAGCCAATCACAGATCGGGACTACAGCCTCTTTCACATGTAGCATGACACTATCCCAGCACTCCTCACGGTAGGTGAGACATCGGACCGAACATACCGTTAGTGCGTTGCATCATTGTAGCCTTAATTTGACTTTGAAAGCGGTAGAAATCGACAGATTTGAGTGAACATTCTGTAACAGTTAGGCCGTTTCTTTTTCCTTTCACTATAGATATATGTAATTTGATATATTCTGAATGTGTCAAAGTATTTTTTTTGTACATTTCTGCCTCGTATTCAGCTTTCCTAGATTTGTTGTACGTCGGAAGTTAAGTCGTAGTTTGAAGTCTTCAAAAATTTGAAAGGTCACTTTTCACGTTCTTCAAAAGCTCTGACTAAACGCCCTCGAACGGTACACGTATTTTATGGATTTTGAGAGATAGTGTTCGAGACTGGTAATGGAGCGAAACCAAACGGCCTTGTTGGTGTATTGCGTTACATGGCGTTACTACTGTGAGGTCATTTTCCATATTTATTTAATCGTGTTGTAAATCTACTAAAGCCAAATTAACTAATTGCGAGTATTGTATGGTAAATCAATCATCTTGATTCTTGAATTAAGGACAGTTGAGGTGGAGCAAAGAAAGGGGTCGCTTGATCAATGAATAACTTTACCTTTATAGGAGGGGTTACCCGCCGCAAATTTAGCCGGAAATCAACTGTTGACAGTTGATAGGTGTTGCTAGGCCTATGCGACTCCTGCCATTCGAGAGCGCTACCCTCAAAGTGCACCTCTTCTTAGGCTACCTCTTTATGAGGAGTTTAATAGGGTGAGTTTTAAGATGTCATTTCCCCGTCTGTATGATGTTCGTGAGGTTTGGAAAAGCCAGCTGAGATTGTGTTACAAAAGGCAATATTTCTCTCAGTTCGCGCGCTATTTTCTTTTCTTTTAAGTATACTGGTGTATCAGTCTAGGTATCCTCCATTCTCGAAGCGTACCTTGAAACCCTGTACGTTCTTATTAAACCTGGTGCGGGACAAATTCTCTCTCAGGAGGCGTGGCTTCTTTCTTTTACGAATTACGTATTTTATATCACGCTTAGCGGAAAAAAGTACGTGAATTCGAAGGTCTCTCTCTCTTTTTAATGCGTTTGCATGTCAATGGTCAATTCCCTGTGAATAACTCGTGTCTAAGAATCATAGTTAATAGAGGGTCCCCCTATTAACTATGCTAAGAATCATGTAATTTCTGACTTTGATAATATTCATCCCGCCATCGTCTGTGAGTGTAACAAGGCAAGACTGCAGTTTCGATTCTTTCTGTATCACGTCAGTTGCCTCCTAAGAACAAATTAGCTTTCGAAGGAACTGCAACAGACAATACATCAGCATGTTCACACTATTTTGCTGCTAGCGTTACCAAACGTGTTCCAACTCCCTTTCCGTTTACGACCATGATGCAATGCAATCAGAATGCGTACATCGCCTGGGCAAGCGCAAGTGAGCATGATCAGTCCATTTGTTTCTCAGTGTTGGGATTTTCTCATTTCGGAATATCCGTTTAGGTTCTGTCGATGTCACAAAAAAAGAAAACTATCTTATTACTTATCCTCCCTGTAGTATGCATCCTATCGCACGATTTTGCAGGTGAGAGATCTGCCTGATTTTGTAATCGTTCAGTTACGACATGGCGAAACTAAAATTCTGTATTACCTTATGTTACTTTAAGGTCAGAAGTAGTACAATTCATTTCGTTGTAACTGCATTTGTATTAACTGCACTAGGATCAACGGATCTGATGTGACAAACAAAAGATGTATGTGGAGTCTTAACTATTTGTTCTCTGAAGCTGAATTTTTCTGTTCGCATTGTTTCTTCTTATTGAATTCTATGAGTGGTTGTCATCTGATGTGTGCGGTTGTCATCTGATTTGTAAATACATTGTTTCATTATGAATTCTTCTCCGAACCAAATTTAAGCACATGTTTTGCAGAGCAGTTTCCCATAAGAGTAGAATTTTTGTGATTGGTGAATTTAGGGTGGATTTGCATTAATGTTACAGAATTTCATCAAACTGATGCAACTTTTTTTGTCAATTGAATAAAGGAGATTACAAGAAGAAACTGTGAAGCTGCATTGATGGAAGTGTCATGAGATACTTTGATTTTATCAACTGAGTTGATGATTTTAATTGGCCACAGTAAAGAGTTTTATTAAAGCTGATGTCTTGTGCATTGACCCCTATGTTTTTGCTGTGACTAAGGAATAACTCTCAAAATGTCAGCTTTATATATTCTTTACAGTGGTCATATCACTTAATCAACCCACTTAACTACATCGAATTGGTTTTTTTTGGTTAGCGTTCTGATAATGTGATCCATGCAAGATTATATGAAAATACTATTGCAAGTCATGCCTAATTAACAATTTGCAGATTATATAGAAAGAGAAATTGAAATTCATAATTTTTGTCAGTCCCTGCAGGTAATACTGAATTTAATCTTCAACCAAACAGAGGGGAAAAATTACTACTTAAACCATATGTAACATGGGACATGGAACTTGAACATAATGAAGCTGAGAGTTCATGGAGATATGCAATCATCCAAGTACATGTGCAGCAAAACAATGTAACATTGTCTCTCAATCCTGATTTTACGTACGATGAAACAGACACAGGAAAAGATGTAGCAATTCTTTATCCGATTAAAAATTTATATGGAAGTTATCACTTTTACTTAAAGTCAGAAAGTAAAGTTGACACCTTTAACGTTGACATCATCTCAGTTCCATACATTTATGGGGGTAAGTTGTTTGTAGCTATTACTGTTTAAATAGCAGGAGATTGTTTTAATGAAGCTTAATTTTAGTTTATTAGTTTTATCATGAAACAGCACGGTTGCTGGAAAATACAACAGTTATGTATCATAGTATTGAAGCCAGCCCCTTAGTTAGGGTTTTGTTAACCATTGGGTTTTAGCTAAGAAATTAGGCTCAAAGGGGGTGAATGACTATAAGTGTGTAACCTCAGAAGTGCCGGTTTTGCAAAAATCCTGCTGGCAATGGCTGCTTTATCATCTTGTGAATTTTGGTGGCAGGCAGCACTTCGCAACAACCTTGTAACCCTTTGACTCTTAGGAGTAATTACACATGAATTTTTTTTTTCTTGCAGCATCCATACATTTTCATGTAGAAAGGTGATGAGAAGTGAGAATTTGATCAACTAGGGGATATTCTTTGACTGACTACAAAATTCTTAGGTCTAGAATTTTAAGTGATGAATGACAAATAGTGTGGAGAATCACTAACGAAATTCAAATCTTGGAGGTAAAAGGTATATGAAAAGGTGGTGGCAGAAGAATAGTGCAAAGCAACAGGAAGATGTCCTCCTGGGAATAAAAAACAAACAAACAAGCAGACTTAGGTCTTTGAAAGTAATGTGGAAAAGAGTGTATGGTAGTATAGTAGCCAAGGAATTCTCTGATCTGTGGGGCCTAAAGTGAGCATCTTGCCAAGTTATCCCTACTTATTCCTTTGAGAATAGATTACATGCTAAGGGTGCACAGTCAACCTTGATTTTCCGCACCTCAAAGTATCCCAATTGTTTTTATTATTCAGACCTGCTTCTCTGGCCCTTTTTAGCAGAGAGAAAAATTAATGTAATTTTTTTGAGAGAATGTGAATGTAATAGTTTTAAACGTATATCATGATTTTCTTGTTGTTGTTGTTGAAGTTAACAAAAGGTCTTAGGCTACTTTTAGCACAATTACATGTAGCCCTATTCTTCAAAACAATAAACTGACAACAATAGAAAAACAAAAGGCCTAGCTCATACATACTAATCAGGCAGATTTGTTAAGTTTATGCATACACATGCAGAATTTTGATGCACACATTTCTTTTATTTGCACTTGCGTGCAATTTTTCAGCAGTTTTATACACATTTTTCGGTTAAGGACTGTACAAGCAGTACTGCACATGTAACTCTTGTTTTAATTCCAGCTCCATTTCCTGGTGGTTGTTGCCTCACTTGTAACATGGAATTTGATCCAAATCTGGTCATATCCTATGATTCAGTGGAAACTAATGTTACCTTTGCATTTGCTAATGTGTACTACAAAAGGTTGGTTACATTACTTTTTCAAGCATACATCTGGCAATAGAGGTTTTGCACAGCAGCCATGTTGGATTGCAGGAACAATAGATTATTTTACCCATGTGAAAAAAATTCTTTCTTATGCAAAATATTTTCATTGTTCCTACCATCTAACATGGGTGCTGTGCAAAACCTCTATACATGGTATAGACACCTGGCATAGCATTTTTTTTGTACCCTTGACTAATATTACTGATAGAGTTTGGAAATAGTCACCAGTTACTTTCAATTGGTAACAAGATATAAAACACAAAGTGGAAAGGAATGGTTTCGTTTTTTATTTGAACTCATTTTGCAGTCGCATTGTTTCACTACTCTGCAACTATTTGTAATTTAAACTATTGATATGCCGTAAAAACCCGTGGATAAACTGCACCCACGGATGAGCCGCACCTTGAATTTAGCAGCTCAAATTTTGGAAAAACAAGTTTTTTTGTAAGAAATCAAAACAAATCCAAGTCAAGACTTGATAAGTTTTCTACATCAACTGTTCATCGAACATAAACTCACTATTAACATTGCAATGGAAAATACTTCAAAGTCTTACCCACAATTTTAGCACTCATTCTAGCAACTTTGACATATGATTGATATTTTTCTGGTATTTGTTGATAGGAATTTCTTCATTCAACACAGTTTTTCCATAAATTTTTTTATTACATGACTCAGGCAGTCAGAGGGCCAATAACTTAAATCAACCAATCAAAATGCTCTATTGCCGGTCCAATATTCTCTAAGTATTGGACCGGGCACTGTCCCAAATGGTCCCGAATGATACCACACTTGTGTCCCTTTGAACTTCAGTCATGTAATAAATCTCTTATTAACCAAGCTTGCTTGGGACCGTACTGGAAGAATATCGGCCC